CGGCCCCGGAAATCGCTCTTGAAATAACGAGCCGCGTCGCGATCGAACGGAAAGACCTTTCCCTCTACTTCTGCCCGACATTTTGTCCGTCGGGCATCGATGTCGGCCGGATAGCACAGTTCAGATCCTTATCGAGCCGTTCGATACACGTATAATCGCAGATATTTCGACCTTTTCGAATTACATTACGGCCGATACCCCTGGGCGTGGTATCCATGCCTCTGACCACCATTTCGTATCCACTGGGTGTCCCGAAACTACGGTTATCTATTGAATTAAATCAAATAAATTTGTCGATACTATTTGTGGCTACTTGGAAGTTTAGTAGCGTTTAACTCTGTAAATTTTAATTTGTAGTTTCTAGTGATACTACATTGTTTTAATAACATTGTCCATCGAATTGTAAAATGAAATAGATTATCAATATTATTTTTGGCTATTTGGAGTATCGTTCATCTATGAAAATTGTTTTCATTTGTAGTTTCTACTTATACTACATTGTTCTGATAACATTGTCCATCGAATTGTAGAATGAAATAGATTATTAATATTATCTCTGGGTACTTGGAAGTTTAATATCGTTTAACTGTGAAAATTCTGTTCATTTATAGTTTCTAATGATATTACATTGCTTTTCTAATAACATTATCTATTGAATTAAATCAAATAAATTTGTCGATACTATTTCTGGCTATTTGGAAGCTTAGTAGCATTTAACTCTGTAAATTGTTTTCGTCTGTAGTTTCTACTTATACTACATTGTTCTAATAACATTTTCCATCGAAGTGTAGAATAAAATAGATTATTAATATTATCTCTGGGTGTTTGAAAGTTTAATATCGCTTAACTGTGAAAATTCTCTTCATTCGTAGTTTCTAATGATATTTCATTGCTTTCCTAATAACATTGGAAATGAAATAGATTATAAATATTATAATCTGAATCCGAATTATAAAATGAAATAGATTATAAATATTATCTCTGGGTGTTTGGAAGTTTAGTATCGTTTAACTCTGTAAATTGTTTTCATTTGTAGTTTCTGTGATACTACATTATTCTAATAACATTGTCCATCGAATTGTAGAATAAAATAGATTATTAATATTATCTCTGGGTACTTGGAATTTTAGTATCGTTTAACTGTGAAAATTCTGTTCATTTGTAGTTTCTAATGATATCACATTGCTTTCCTAATAACATTGTCCATCGAAGTGTGAAATGAAATAGATTATCAGTATTATCTCTGACTATTTGGAGGTTTAGTATCGTTCATCTATGAAAATTGCTTTCACTCGTAGTTTCTAGTGACACTACATGTATATATATTATACTATATGACTAAGTTACACATCGAATGCTTAAACAATAGGAAAAAATGAAACTATACAACCTCTCGCTCTCAAATAACTAAATCGTCTGCAACTCAGTGTTCCAAACATTTCACTTCATCCACAAAGGGTTAATCAAGTTATTTATCTTTTATTCCTTCTTCTTCTCCATTTATTCTCGATATTTCATCAATTAAAAGTCTACCATTCCTACACCATACACCTTAAACACCACCTCACAAAAACCTCCGAAGCAACACAACGAACACAAAGGTGTATCGCATAAAGAAGCTAATCTTGAATACATCCGAATCCAATCTCAAGGAGCACCCAGGATCTCTCGGTGCTGAATCAAAACCCAGGCAAATGATCAAACTTCAAACGCATGAAACATCAGATTCCAGAATCCCCATTCCCATTATCGAGCGCGATTGCTTCCCAGAAATGCGGAGAGAGATAGAGACGGAGAGCGTAGAATCCATCGAAGGATCGGAAAAGGGTATCCAATTCAAAGGGAACGCCGGTCGGGGACCTTTGCGGTCTTCCCATAGAATCGAAGGGTGGCACCGAGGTTCCAGGGATGTTGCGGGCGTCGTCGAAAGGTGTGGACAGCCGAGAGATCCGATCGATCTGTTTCTCCGCAGGGAAGAAGCTGTTCGCGGTGACGTTCATCGGGTCGATCTTCTGGATAGCCGCGTACTCGTACCTGATGGTGTGGTGGGCGAACGTGGCCGGCGACACGGTCCGCATACCGCCGGAAGTGATGGGGCTGACGTTCCTCGCAGCCGGCACCAGCATCCCCGACCTGATCACCAGCGTGATCGTCGCGCGGAAAGGATTCGGCGACATGGCGGTGTCGAGCTCCGTTGGTAGCAACATATTCGACGTGACCGTTGGGTGAGCTATGTTTTATGATATGTATAGTTTTAATTGCTCGAGTGTCATGGGTCTTTGCAAAGTCGGAAAGAGGGATATTGGATGTTAACGTTGCAGCTTGTGTAGAGAAGTGGGAGTTCGGATTGGTTCTTTGGGTGATTTGAGGTGAATTTTAACGTGGTCCACGTGTACCGTATGTGGTACACACTAATTTCTGTAAGAAAATAGTTTTAATTGCTTGAGTGTCGTGGGTCTTTGCAAAAATCAGGTCGAAAAGGGAGATATTGGAAATTAACGTTGCACCTTATATTGAGAATTGGGAGTTTTGATTGGTTCTTTGGGTATTTTGAGGTGAATTTTAACATGGTCCACGTGTGCCATATGTGGTACACACTAATTTCAGTAAGAAAATGTTTTTAATTGTTTGAGTGTCATTGGTCTTTACAAAAATCAAGTAGAAAAGAGATATATTGGAAATTAACGTTGCAGCTTATATTGAGAAATGGGAGTTTAGATTGGTTCTTTGAATGATTTGAGGTGAATTTTACCATGGTCCACGTGTACCATATGTGGTATACACTAATTTCTGTTAGAAAATATTTTTAATTGTTTGAGTGTCATTGGTCTTTGCAAAAACCCAGTCGAAAAGTGGCAAACGACGTGATTGTGAGAAACTGAACAATTATTTACTACTTTTATAACTTTCTTTCGTTTCTTGTGCTAGATCGGCGTAACTATTGAGTGAACTGTGCACTATACTATACAGTGCATTGGTTCCCAAGTTCTTGAGAACCTAAACTCTCCAGAAATAATAGTTTGCAACTCAATCTCTTAGAAAACTCACTGTGACCAATTCGACATAGTTGCATTACTCGCTATGACTCCACGTGACAGTTGAATGAGCTGTCTTACGATACATTTACATATACACAGCAGTGGTTCCCAAATTCGCAATAACTTAGGCAACATTTATAAACTATCTTTCGACGTCTGATTCACTTACAAAATTCTTTATAATTAATTAAACGTACCTGCACTTCTTTTAGCGGTTCGACCGTTCCAAAACTCTTTAAATAATCATGCGAAGTGTATTATAAATCTCTCGCGACCCATACTTTGCGAACCTCTGCACCAGAATGATGACTAGTGCGCAGCACACAAGATCCTAGCGAGATTCCGTAGGTGGGAGAGGCTTGCGACAAAAGCGTGTCCCCTTTCTGCTTCGTTTCGTGTTCTTCCGACAGGCACGGATCATCGTACAAAGGAACGCGAGATCTTTGAATATTCTTCCGCAGTGTTGAAGATAGTTGACCAACTTCGCGGATACGAGGGACCTTCAGACATTTTTTCGGGGATTTAAATAAAAGGGTAGTGAATTGGATCAAGGGACTCGTTTCTTGAAACAAATCTCAATGACGGAATTCCGGGAACTTTTTAAGCACCCTTTGCACCAGACTGCTAAAGAGGAAAGGGTTTAAAAATGGCTGACTTAATTGCAGTCTAGATCCATTCTACTTCTTTAATTACAGTAGTACAGTAATAATATTCGCACAACATTTATATGATTAACCCTTTGAACTCTGTAGGCTCTAATATTGCACCAATTATAATATTAACCCTTTGCACTCGAGAGGCGCCTTTCAGTCGCCATTTGATTTGACCCATGGAAATGATAAAATTTAGAATTCAATATTAAATTTTTATATAATGCATCGACACATGGAGCATCGAAATAAAATAGTTCTGTTACTTAATTTATGCAAGGTATTTCTTTATGTTAGTTGTAAGACATATCATTGATATTTCATCAGAAAATAATGAATATTTATGGAGAAAAATATTCTCGAGTGCAAAAGGTTAAATATTTTAATGAATCTTAAAGAAACTACCCTAAAATTATTAGATTCCCCACACATCCAAATTTTGTAGTGAGAATGGAAATAAAAGATTGAAGAAATGCATTTCTCATTTTCGCTAGGAATACCATAAAAATTAATTGCAGTTGCTGATAGATTACAAAACAACCGGAACTGTGCATGGAAAGCGCTTAACGAGTCGAACGGAGATAAATTTTAATTCGATCTCGTTTCCAGTCTGTTCGCCTATGAAAACGCAGTATTTGCATAAAAATCCGCGCTGCAACCGCAACGTTTGAAAGGTCGGAGTGGAAAACGGAGATCCCCGCGAGATAATACGTAAAATTCAAGTGACGATAAAGTAGCTAGGAACTAAGATTTCCGCGTTGGGCGCGGATGACAGCGGATGACGGCGGAATCAGTATCCTCATTACCTTGGCAACGGAGCTAGGGCTGGACGTTTTTGATTTGCACGCGAGCAAACCCAGTAATTTGATTTTTCCTGGAGACGGCGTTGACCTTCCACTTATACTTGACTCACAGTTCGCGTATGACGCTGCGAACCGAGAGAATCTGTGCCTGAAAAGGTTAATCGTTTAATTGGTCAAGTTTACCGAATTTCGGCGAAACAAAGAGGTCCACGAGCCAGTTTCACCGATCAGAGAATCTTTTCAACACGGACAACCGAGCACGTAAAGATCTCTGTCTCGGTTACGATCGTGCTTCACTTTTGTGCATTATCTCGCGCAGGTGCCGGAGTACCCACATTCTCCATTCTAACTTTGACCTCCCGAATATCACGGGCGGGATACGGATTTTTATGCAAATGCAGAATTTCGGGGGACGAATTTATAGAAACCGGGGCCGAGTCGCGGTATTCGTTTGACCTGTTAAAGTTTCGGCGACTTTATTGGAATATAAATGAAAACTCAAAGCCTTATGAAGTATTTGTGAATTTTTTAATCCGCTGCCACGCGGTATAGAGAACGTAACGTCTGCGCGTAACACGTGAGAGTGAGAATGAGCATGAAGTATATTTTTAACCCTTTGAACTCTGTAGGCTCCAAAATTGCACCAGTTGTAATATCAAATATTTTAACGAAAAGAAACTACCCTAAAATTATTAGACTTTCCACACATCCAAATTCTGTGCTGAGAAGGAAAATGAAAGATCGAAGGAATGTTATAGCATTTCTCATTTTCACTAGAGATACCATAAAAATTAGTCGCAGTTGCTGATAGATTACAAAACCATCTGGAGTGCTAAGGGTCAACTGATTCGCTAATATCCATTCTAAAAGGCAACACGTGGACACGTCGTTTCTAATCTATTATCAAACTACAGAGCAGGAAAGACTAACAGAGCAAAAAAGAAAGGGTTAAATTGTTAACCCCTCGGCGTACTATTTACCTTCGCTAAGTTTGTATATTTTACTACCAACAGTTTCGAAGGAATGCAACAAAATTGTCCATTCTACTTCAAGTGGAAATTTCATTCGAAGACACGTCGATAATAGCGAAATAGTTCGCTTTGATCCGTGGGTAACGAACAGCATTGATTCCTGTTAAATTAGTCTAGAAATCTTCAGCGCGAGTCTCATTCTACAAGGGGTTAAACATTCTAAACGTCTTCCTCTCCTACAAACAATCCTCCGTCGCGATGAAACTCGCATCGGCATTACAGAACGCAAAGTTCACATTCGATGGTTCGCTCGCGCCGTAACAGGTTTCCTCGCGATAAAAGCCAGACAGAGCCAGAGACAACGAGCGAGTTTTTCCCACGGCGAGATAATTTATCGGTATTTGTTTTCCCCGCAGTCGAATGTAGGTCGCGTATGGATTTACGCGGCTCCGGTTATAAGCGGCCATCGCGCCGCGTTATCGAGGGCATCGGTTATGGCAATTTTCACGCGAGACACACAATCCGCCCCCCGACCCCGGCCCGCAAACGTCCACGCCCCCGCGACCCCGGGCTCGCTAATGCCCGCGAAATAAGATACGTTCGGAAAAAGCAGCTTCCCTCCGGGAAACGAGATCGATCCTCGTCCCCGACGCTCGCCCGGAACAGCCTTTTTGTTCCGAGCGTCTCCGTCGGAGACCCGTGATGGATGCGGCCTCGACGGGAGGAGTCTAACGGGTGATTAGATAGTTCACCGTGAAGAAGAAGGAGCTGCTTCCTCGAGGAAAATTGATGTTTTCGCGTTTGATGGGACGATCGTTGTTTTGGACGCGATCGAGTGTGATTTTCGAGTGTTTGCTGGATGATACCGGGTGTTCTGGTTGGTTCTTGGAGAAAAGCTTTCGTGATGAAAGCTTTTTGTTTGGATAAGAAATGAATTGTAGGCTTGAGTTGGAATAAGTTTGTTAAGTTTTAACGTTGTGTACGAACTTTCAGTTGACTATTACTAAGATTTCGTTTGATTGTTGATAGAAAATTGTTACCATTCAATATTTCCTAACAAAAGCTTCTCGTTCATATAGAAGAAATAAATTATACTCTTCAATTGAAATAAATTAATCAAGTTTCCTCGAATCAACCATTACTCACGTTTACATTTGATTGTCGATAGACAATTGTTACCATTCAATATTTTCTAACAAAAGCTTCTCCTTCATATAGAAGAAATGAATTATACTCTTCAAGTGAAATAAATTCTCAAGTTCTCAAACTCAAGTTTCAACGTTATATTTGAACTTTAAGTTAAGGATTACTCAAGATTCCATTTGATTATTGATAGAAAATTGTTACCATTCAATATTTTCTAACGAAAGCTCCTCATTCATATAGAAGAAATAAGTTATACTCTTCAATCGAAATGAATTAATCAAGTTTTTTCTAATCAACCATTACTCACGTTTCCTTTTGATCATCAATAGAAAATTGTTACTATTCAATACTTCCTAACGAAAGCTTCTCATTCATATAGAAGAAATAAATTATACTCTTCAATCGAAATGAATTAATCAAGTTTCTTCTAATCAACCATTACTCAAGTTTCCATTTGATCAATAGAAAATTCTTACCATTCAGTGTTCCCTAACAAAACTGTAATGTTTTAATCCTCGAAGAGCTGAGCTTTATTTTCTAAAGAATCGAATATAAATTTGGAACAGTCTTTAATGACTGCCAGCTACTTTATTCTATAAATGAAATAACATAGACAT